CGAATAAGGTATTTCAAACTTCAGTTGGTCTCAAAGAACATCTGCTTTACGGTATGACCTGGAAGTATTTGTCATCTGTCAAAACACTAAGACATGCTGCTCCACCCTTCTCATAAGCTTGTGCAATTTCAACCTAAGATATCAAGCCTTCAGACGTAATTCTTTCAATCCCGAAATTTATTCACATTGACAGGTACAAAAAAGGGGTAAATTCTTACAGGGTTAAAATCCTCTCTAAGGATGCCTCTGCTTGGAGAAGCTTTCTTAACCTCAGCTATTAAACCAGGCAACCCCGTTCTTTGATGAGCCGATCTAAGAGCACCAATGAAGTCTTTAGCAGGAGGAACATTATCAAGAGCCTTCTTCAAGGTATAAAGAGGCTTCCTCTCTTTCATCTGAGCAACTTCTTTATCCTTGTGCCATACGATCTCTTCCAAGATATTACGAGGCGTGTTACCCTCGTTCTGGAGGCGGAACTCAAAAGGTCCAACGTAATGCAATGGAGGTCCAGTAGGTGGTCTTCTCCTTATCCTAATACCCTGACTCTCAACTACTTCATTCTGGTACATCCCCACTTCTTGTTCACTAATCTTGAGATCACTTACTTTACCCTCCAATGCCGAATCAGAGGAACCTTCAGTGATTCCAGACTAACCAAAAACAAAAAGCTACTTAGTTCTCAACATGACTACATAGTTTCTTCAAAAATCAAAGAGTCCTAAAGTGCACAAAGTCTTCAACTTTCAACAAGCAACATAAAAAAGATTCCAGGATACTAGAGAGGACCTACCTAACATCGATTCTGACAAGCTCCTGAAGCTGAAACTAACTCTCGAATCATAGATTTTTCATCAATTGTATACAATTCCGAGGCTAAGATAGAAACAAGAAGATTGAATTGGATGAAAAATGAAACCTTTTGAGCACGAAGAGGAAGACAAGAAGAGGGTCTGGTAAGTTTATCGTGGATGTTAAACTGAGAGAGCCGTCGTTGAATGGCGGAGGAGGGAAAGTGCTGAAGAGAACGCATTGCTTCCATTTTTTTTTTTTTTTTTGAGTCTTCGTCGCTCTCTCTCGCCGGGAATGCTATTTTGTGGAGTGGAGGAGACACTTTTGTGCGGCGGATAATCACAGGTGGGTCCTACTTACATAAAAAAGTGACACGTAGTTTTCCAAACGGCAGCTCTCATCAAGATTTTTTTTTAACATGGGCCTACACGGATCAGCCCGAAGCCCATTAATCCCAGAAGGAGTTGAACTCTTTCAGTGGGAAATGACAATATGTGGACTTCACTATACCATTGCATATCTTTAATTTGGTTTATTTTATTAACCACGTACCATTTTTAATTTTTTTATTGGTTGACATATTTTTTGAAATTGTTTTTACAAAGACAACATCTCTTACATTAGTCCGAATGGTCCTAAAATTAATGGACGGTAGAATAAAGAAGAGAAAATTACTATTTGTAAATCAAAATCCTAAAAGGTAATAACATTAAAATTTAAATAAAAAAGCAATAGTTATTCATACTATAGTGGCTATGGTTATTTCATATGTCTAGTTGTCTTTGAAGTTATACGATACATCTACATGTCTGGAAGATTCACATTTTTCGTTGGATAATTGTTACTTTTTGTTACATGTGTTTTAACATTATTTTAATCTATATATACATTTTTGGAACACTTTTAGCAAATAAATCCTGAAGTTAGACAATATTTACAAAGAATGTCATTGGCATTTATTATTACTTTTACAAAATTTAAATAAAAGATATTAACCAAACAATATCTTGCCTAATTTGTTTCTAAAAATCTCTACACAATCTTTCTGTATATCTTCAAAAAAAATTATAGCAAATATTTATATTAACATTTTGCATAGCAATAAAAATACTAATTTATAATAATCAAAATATTCACATAGAAAAATCAAATACACATACAGGAAAGAAAACTATATCTATCATCATTTAGGGTCTGATTGGCAAGTGCTTTACAGTCTTTACAAAGCAAAAAAAAATTCTAAAGATTTGAAATACATCCAATCAAGCTTTAGAAGCTTTAGCTTTCCTTTTTTTCTCACAGCCAAAATATTTACGTAATTCACTTTTTTGGCTGTAGAAAGCCTTTTTTCCTAAAGCACATAATTTTCAACTTTCCAAAATTTTAAATTCTACAGCCAAAATTCTACAGCAATAAAATCTACAGCCACAGCAAATAAACCTACAGTCATATTTCTACAGCAAAAAATGTAAAGCTACAGTTGTTACCAATCAGGCCCTTAAGATGTTGCTTTATTTAAATAAAAAAAAAAAACACAAAAACTTGAAATCATATACTTTATATGATAAATTTAAAATATATATTAGTAGTATAAATTTAAAATCGTTCAAAGAACGATATACTACGGGTGAGATCCTAAAATTATTAGATTTTATAACAATAATAATTTATTTTCTTGGATTTTATAATACAAATAATTTAGCTAACGAGATAATATAGACGGGTTTATATGGGATGATGGGTTTGGGTCGATATAAATAAATAACGGTATATCACGGATGAAATCCTAAAATTAACAATCAAAATATAATTATACAATCTTAAACACAAAACAAAAGAAACAATATTAACAATACAAATCCAACTTAAATTTAAAATTTTTAGTTATAAAAAAAACGACCCACGGTATACTGTTGAGTAAAATATTCAAAATTTTAAAATCCACTATACATCGTTACTTTTAAAAAAATGTATGTTTTCGTATCTATACTTCAAAAATTGATAGATAGATATCTACA